AAAGAAAAAGCCATATCTGAGACTGGCCAATAAAAGAAAAAGATTAAGAAGGGCAAAAGAACACAGATATTGGAAAGAGGAAGACTAAAAAAAAGTGTTGTGGACGGATGAATCCAAGTTTGAGGTGTTTGGATCACAAAGAACAATGTTTGTGAGACGCAGAACAAATGAAAAGATGCTAGAAGAATGCCTGACGCTGCACATTTGCAGATTGTTAAGCATGGTGGGGGTAATGTGATCTGAATCTCATTGAGCTGTCGTGGCAGCAGCGTGACCGTATGGTACACAAGAAGTGCCCATCCAACCAATCCAACTTGTGGGAGCTGCTTCTGGAAGCGTGGGGTGCAATTTCTCCAGATTACTAGAATGCCAAAGGTCTGCAATGCTGTAATTGCTGCAAATGGAGGATTCTTTGACAAGAGCAAAGTTTGATGTAAAAACATACAAATCATTATTTCTAACCTTGTCAATGTCTTGACTCTAATTTCTATTTATTTCACAATGTATGGTGGTGGATAAGTGTGACTTTTCAGGAAAACACAAAATTGTTTGGGTGACCCCAAACTTTTGAACGGTAGTGTATATATATAGCCTCTAGGATGATATATAGCCAAGAGGCTGCGGAGTGGTAGGTGCCACTGGCCACTTAAGCAATAACATCACAATATTAAAACAATAATCCACTTAGAGGTAGCCTACTATAAATAAGTCATTTGGTGGCTATGGTCACTATGGTGGCAGCGGCCACTATAGTGTCAGTCTCTGCTGGCAGCGGCCACTACGCTGACACTATGATGGCACCATAGTGGCAGCACAGTGGCAGCGGCCGATGCCAGCAGGAACTGCCACCACAGTCTCTGCTGGAAGCGGCCGCCACTCTGGCAGTCCACTATGGGGACCACTTATTTGCAGATTAACTACTTAGTTCCATCAAGTAATTGTGACTTTATAAAAGTTTTAATGCAGGAAACATCACAATAACATCACAATATTGAAAAAAAAAATTCTTAGAGGCACTATAAATAAGTTATTTACCAAAAAATGGCATGAAAAAGAAAAAAATTATAAAAAAATTAATGAATAAATAAGGTATTTGCCAAAAAACGGCATGAAAAAGAAAAAATAAATAAAAAAATAAATGAATAAATAAGGTATTTGCCAAAAAACGGCAAGAAAAAATAAATAAATGAATAAATAAGGTATTTGCCAAAAAACAGCAAGAAAAAAAAAATATTATATGAATAAATAAGGTATTTGCCAAAAAACGGCAAGAAGAAGAACTAAAAAAGAAAACTAGTTATTTAACGAAAACCGGCTTTTGCAGCCACCAAAACGGTGTCAGTAAACCTGGGAGTCGCTTGGGCAGCCTACTGGCAGGACAGCCAGACTGTCATCATGGTGGCTGCGTAGTGGCCGTGCCCGGAGAGCCTGCCACCGGTGTGGTTGGGTAGTGGCTGATGGTGCACGCTGCCGGCAGATGCTGGCCCCGGAGTGGCTGATGGTGCCCGCTGCTGGCCGAGGCCACTTATTGGCAGACAAACTACTCCGTGCCATCAAATAAATGTGACATTTTAAAGGTTTTAATGCAGTTTATTAAGCAATAACATCACAATATTAAGAAAAAAAAAACAATCTAGTTAGAAGTACTAGTAGCATGTAGCCTCTCGCTTCAGTCTGCAGGACACCTCGGTTGGATATCCAACTCCTCCCACATGCCGTCGGTCAGCAGATATGGGATCTTCCTGTTGGTTACCTAATCAAAATGGCCGACTTTGATGTGGGCGGAGTTACAGACTGAAGCGGGAAGCTACATGCTGCCGTGTGTATGTATGGGGCAGAGAGATATCACAATAACAGAAGAGAGCATGGCCAGTGCTGCTGCAGAAGGGCCAAAACAACCAGTTTTGGTCGAAAATGATAGAGGCAAGAATGCTGTTTGGAGGTATTTTGCCTTTGAGCCTGACGTGGAAGTCGGACGTGTATTTGTCCTCCT